TGGCCTCAAGTGATCCTCCCGCCTGGGCCTCCCAAAGCGCTGAGATTATAGGCATAAGCCACTGCTCCCACCCTGAGATCTTTTTCTGTGCATCTACATGCTTGTATTTTGACCCATAAAAATGATGTCCCTTGGCCCGGTATGGTGGCTCATGCCTGTAATCCTAGCACTTTGGGAGGTCCAGCTGGGAGGATCACTTGTGGTCAGTTCGAGACTGCTGTGAGCTGTGATTGTGCCACTGCACTCCAGCCTGGGTGACAGAGCAAGATCCCAATTATTTAAAAAAAAAAAAAAAAGTATTCCTTTGTGTAGGACTTTTCCCTCTATCAATGTCATGTCTTTCTCCATCTTGCCCTTTCCCCCCAACAATCTGGCTAGATCTGGCTAGATCACGTATAGATCGACCCCAAGTTCCTTAAGAACTGCATGGTACTCCTCAGCGTATGTTCATTTAGCCATCCCTGGTGGGCGGACACATAGGTTGTTTTTTTGCTCTTGCAAACAACATGGCCTGCAGCTCCCTGTACAGCCTCTTGGCACACATGTGATAAACCGTTCTTACCGTTTGAATGTTCATAGGCGCCACCCAGTCGCCTGCCAGCGTTCTGTGCACATTTACCTTCTGGGCAAAAGCATTCAACAGTGTTTCCCCATGCCTTCGCCATTATCATACTTTTTCCATTTTTGCCTATTTGATGAATTGGTAAGTGATGGCTTCTTGTTGTTGCTTTAATGCCTGCTCCTTCTTTCATCTACTAAACAAATATTTACTGCACACCTAGTATGTGCTAGGCGCTGTGCTAAGTCCTAGAGATGCAGCAGTGAACAGCAGGGCCTCCTCGGTTCTCTTTACAAAGTGTGAGATGCACCTGAGACTCAGAGAGGTTGAGGAATAGTCCTGGGGTCACCCAGCCAGGGAATGGGGGAGTTGGGATTGGAAGCTGGGTCTGTGTGACTACAGGGTTTGACATATTTTTCCTCTTGAATCATAGCTCACATGGGCATCTCTGCCAGGGTCTGTCCTCTCGTCTGAGCGCTCCGTTCCCCACTCCTTCCTCAACCCGGGACCCCTGCGTTTCCCCTTGGTGATCCCTCAGACCCTCAGGAGTGACAGCCCTGCAGGTAACCCCACCACAGGACAGGCTGTACCTCACTGTTCCCCTGACCTCACCTCATTCCCCAGTAGCCCACTGAAATTAAATCTCTGAGTATCAAGATAGATCATCTTCAGAACCCGCATACTATCTTGCTGGCTGGATTTATTGTCTGTCTGTCTCCATTTCCTGAATTTGGGTCTCCAGCAGGCCTGCCCCCAACCTACTGCCAGCCACCCCAAGCCAAGTAAGTGAAAGCGTGAATCTGTGGTTGGATTTTTTTTTCCTGTCATCACTGTGCATCTGACTGTACAAGGGTGGTGTGTATTGTGAGTGCTTGCTTACGTATGTGTTTCCTGTGGGAAGGGTCGGGGGAGGTGACTGAGAGCCTGCATGCATGTGTAGCGGGGGGTGTGTGTGTATTTGGGGTCCACATGTGAACGTGGGTCTCTGTGTCTGAGCGGGTTTGAACGGCCGCTTCTTTGCATAGGTGGCCAGGAGTTCGAGATTCCGGTGAGTTGTGATTGTGTATGTGACTATCCGTGTTTGCGCCACTTTTGTGTTGCTCGTGTTGGTGGTGGTTTCAGGGAAATGTGGAGTTAAAGATAGGTCCATAAGCCACACGCGTGAGCCAGTCCATCAGCTTATAATAAAAGATCTGCCTTCAGTAATCATATCATAAAAGGACACTGCCCAGGAAGCAGGGAGGTCCTTTGGTGAGTGGAGCTCAAAGTCCCTGACTTTATGTCTAACCCTGTCTCCACTTCCTGCTTCAAAATGTGTTCCCCAGAAGGGCCTCCCAAACTCTTGCACTGATGTGTCAGTGACTATCATGGCTTAATGTGGCCTTACATTTTCAGCGGGGAACCAGGAAGTTTTGGACAAAACATGAATGTCTTATCTCAGACCTGCTTGCCAGGAGTCCTTGACCAAGTTATTTCACCTCTGAGTCTCAGCTTCTTCATCTGTCCAGTGGGACCAATAATGTCTCCTGTTGAGGAGTGTGGATTCCGTGGAAACATTTATGTCAAGACATCGGGCATCGAGTAGGTGCTCAATAAATGTAATTCCTGAGCCTATAGAAGTGCTTCCCCGCACCCTCTCCTGATAGAAACAGCCTGGAACCTTTCCCTGCTGTGAGGGGAGGATAAAGGGACCCAAGGAAAGGAGACTGACAGTGACATTGAGTGACATTGGTCAGATGGACCAGGCCCTCTGTTGGATGCTTGCAGGTGCATTATCTCAATGAATCCCCACCAGGACCCCTCGAGGGAGGCACCGTTAGCCTCCCATTTTACAGAAAAGACCAGGATGCAGACGGGGGACATGACTTGCTCAAGGCCACACAGCTGAGATCTGAAAGAGGAACTTCCATGTCATGCCGCTGCCTGGGACAGGCTCAGCAAAGCTTGGAATCCTGCAAGGCCTTCCCCAAGACGCCTGGGTCCATTTCCCTCCCCTGCAGACACCCCATCACCACTCATTTCTACTCCTGCCCCACCCCGCCTTCACCTGCTCACCCTGTTCATTCAGCCCAAATGCCAAATGCAGCACAAAAGAAAACAAAGTGACCCTGTGTCTGGTGCTGTGCCGGGCACCTTGTCACACACCAGGCTGCCGGGTACCCCGCCCCTCAGCATGTCAGAATAGTGAGCCCATTAGACAGAGGAGGTGAGTGAGGCTCAGAGTGGTCTAGTCCCAGCCCCCTCAGCTAGGATAGTGAGAACCAGAGCAAACTTGAGTCTGACCTTAAAACCAAGGCTGGTGGGTATGAAGGTCAGAAGCCAATTTACACAAGACCCTAACCATTACCCAGTCCTTTAGTCTGGCAGCCGGTGTTCCTTCACGAAAATCTGCCTGGTATTTTTTTTTTTTTTTTTTTTTTTTTTTTGAGACGGAGTCTCGCTCTGTCGCCCAGGCTGGAGTGCAGTGGCCGGATCTCAGCTCACTGCAAGCTCCGCCTCCTGGATTTATGCCATTCTCCTGCCTCAGCCTCCTGAGTAGCTGGGACTATAGGCGCCTGCCACCTCGCCCGGCTAGTTTTTTTTTTTTTTTTTTTAGTAGAGACAGGGTTTCACCGTGTTAGCCAGGATGGTCTTGATCTCCTGACCTCGTGATCCGCCCGTCTCGGCCTCCCAAAGTGCTGGGATGCCTGGTACTTTTTATGCCATATTAATAGCAGAGGTTTACTGAGTGCCAAGCACTGAGCCCAGACACCATGTCACATGCATGACACACTGACCTCTCCCAGTCCCCCAGCAAGGGTGCCCATTTTGCAGATGAGAGCAGGTTTTCCTAAGATTGATGTCCATAGCTGTCTCCATATCTACTTGGAAGCAGGGTTCTGTCTGGTTCACCCTTATCTTCCCTCCTTGGCATTAGCCCAAAGCCCACACAAGTGGGTGCTCAGTAAATGTTTGCACAAGAGGAATGAGGAAGGCAGGACTCTGGGCATTATCTTGGGAGGAACCTCCAGCCCACCTGTTGTGGAAAATCTCTCCGCTAGACCAGGCTGCCATTCTGCCAATTGCTGTACCCTGTCCCATCCCCTGCAATCCAGCCTCCACATAGCAGCCGCACCACTTTGAAAACACACCAGGTAGCCAGGCATGGTGGCTCACACCTGTAATCCCAGCACTTTGGGAGGCCAAGGCGGGTGAATCACTTGAGGTCAGGAGTTTGAGACCAGCCTGACCAACATGGTGAAACCTCGTCTCCACTAAAAAAATACAAAAATTGGGGTGTGGGGGGAATGGGGAGGGAGAACATTAGGACAAATGCCTAATGCACGCAGGGCTTAAAACCTAGATGATGGGTTGACAGGTGCAGCAAACCACCAAGGCACATGTATACCTATGTAACACACCTGCACGTTCAGCACATGTATCCCAGAACTTAAAGTAAAATGAAATAAAAATTAAAAGCAGTGACAGAACGCCTACACAGTGGGGAAAAAAACATAAAAATTAGCCAGGTGTGGTGGGTGCCTGTAATCCCAGCTACTCGGGAGGCTGAGGCAGGAGAATCGCTTGAACCCAGGAGGCGGAGGTTACAATGAGCTGAGATGGCGCCACTACCCTCCAGCCTGGGCGACAGAGCGAGAAGTCAAAAATAGCTAAGCATGGTGGTACATGCCATGCTACTCAGGAACCTGAAGCAGGAGAATGGCTTGAGCCTGGGAGATCGAGGCTACAGTGAGCCATGATTGTATCACTAACCCCCAACCTGGGTGACAGGGTGAGATGGTCCCAGCTCATGTCCCAGCACCTTCAGATTCTATGCCAGCTCCTCTGGAACACAAGTTCTAACCCAGGCTCATTCCCTCACAGGGACATGACATCACCCTGCTCCCTTGATACAGCTCATTCTGACAAGTCTTGTGTTTGGACTGTAAGTTCCATGAGGGCAGGGCCTTGTGTGTTCTCTAGTTCTGTTCCCAGAGCCCAGCACAGCCCCTGAACAGTCTTTGGTCACTTAGTAAAAGTTGATTGAAATGGCCGCTTTGAGGAACCTTGAGGTTGGTACTATATTACAGAATCAGCAAGTGAGGCTCAGAGGTTGATCACAGTTCAAGGTCACACAGCATGTACGAAAGACGAGCCAGGATTCAAACTCAGGATGCTCTGGATTGCAAAAGGCACATTCTGAACCCCTCTTCCTGTCTCCTTGGGCTACATACATGTGGATCACGTGAATAGAGTATGGACCTGTGCGCATCTTATGTGTCCACATATGTACACACCCATGTGGGAGTGTACAGGGCAAAAGATTGTTATCCAAGCAAAGTGGACTCTGCAGGCTTCTTGGCATCCCACCCCCATTCATTTCTGCCCCAGTGCAGGTCCCCAAAACACATAACGCCTTTATTAGTGAAATCAAAATGACTCTAAAACGACTACTCAGGGATAGTCTTCCAGGGTACAAGCTTTAATTAGTGTTGCGTAGAAATCACCATAGTAACATGTTCCTGCAAGAAGATTGACTTCATCCTAGCATTCTATGCATGATAGCATTTCTCATTTGGGTGAAACACGCAGGAACAAGCCAAGGAGTGCAGTGTCATTAGTTGGATTTCCGTCCTAAGGGATAAGAGTGGGAAAGGAACTTTTAATAGCTGAGGACTTCATGAAGTCACTGACCTCCTGTGGGTCTTACAGCTACTCATTTGTGATTGAATATGGGGCATAGATAGAGTTTAGACTACCGTCAGTGTCCTTTTGACCTATGTGAATCCATCTATCCATCCATTCATCCCTTCCATTTGTCATCCATCCATTCATTAGTTCACCCATTCCATTCATTTATTCAACATTTCTTTCCCATTCTATCCCATTAGTCTAGATATCTATTCTTCCATCTATCAGTTCATTCAATTACTCTATATTACTCTATTAAGATAAATTTATCAACATCATCCCTTCATCTAAACTAGCCTACTTAGCCAACCATTATTTAACCAATCAGATCAACCCATCAAAACTTTTACATCTATTTAACTATATCCAACCAATTCGTGTCCACCAACCATATTCTTCCAACTAGTCATCTACCTAACCAACCAATAACGAGTGAACCAGTGCATTCATCCATTTATTCATCCATCCAGCTAATCACATCCAAACTTCCTATCATTCAACCAATGCATTCTTCCAACTATCCTATTACCTATTTCTTATTTACCCACCCAGTCATCCACCCAACCTCTCAACCCAATTCATGCTTCCATCTAGCTAATCTTTCCATCCTCCTAATCAACCCATCCAATTTATCCAAAGAACCTGTCCGTCAATCAACATATCATACTAGCCAACTGTCATTGTTTCTCTTCTCCCTCTTCACCCTTGCCTGTGGTTCCTCTGTGACCTGGCTGCAGCCTTCCTCTCACTGCCCCCAAGGTCTGCTCCCCATCATCTGTGGGCTCTGTGGCCCTTCCCACCTCCTTAAAGGATACCTGAGCTCCGCTTCTGGGTTTTGTGCACCTGCTGGATCCTCTTGGCCATTTTTTTCTTGTTCAGCTTGCCTTCCAAGTTCTTTCTGTTCTTGGGGCAGCTGCTGTGCAGGATGGTGGGCCGCGTGGGAGAGTGGTGGGAGTTCATGGTCTTTTTGTGGCGCTTTGGTGGTGGGCTGGCATTGGGACTCTGGCTCTGGCAGCCGGATGAGCTGTGGGCTCCGGTTGGGTTCTGGTGGGTAGCCGGGCTCTGTCTGGAACTCCGGCTCCGGCTGCCACGCTGGCTCTCTCTGCAACTCTGGCTGAAGGTCTGGCAGTGGTGGGTGCAGGTGCAGTGGCTGCGGCTTTGGGGCCGAGAGTTGCTGTGGAGCTGGGTGTGGGTGATAGGAAGGCTGTGAGTCTTGGTGTCCATAGGAGGCCACGTTTGGAGAGGCAGGGCCTCCTCCTCGTCCTCTCCCAGCAGGCCTAGCTTTACAGAGGCCCTGGCAGCCCCTGGTTATATAGTTGGGGCTGATTATGATGGCACAGGCCACAGCGGTGTGACAGATGTGGGTCAGCCAAGACAAAGCCCCCTACCCCTTACCCTCACCCCCAGGCTGGGGCAGCCCTCAGGGGTACCCTGGGGGTAGTCCCAGCTGCTGGTTCAGGGTAGGAGCCCTTGGGTCAGATTAAGCTGAGTCTGCATCCCAGATCTGCTTTTTCTACATGGTCAGCCCTGGGGATTCGCCTGAAGAAGTCCCAGTTTCCCCATCTCTGCAGAATAGAGACAATAATTGTACTGACCTCATTCAGACATTAGAAGAATTATTAATAAAGGAGAGAATTTATATCAAGCAGTTAGCTCAGGCCCAGCCCACAATAAGAGCTCAGTAAACATCACTGACCAGCATCGTCAGGGCTTTTTCTTAACTTCCTGGGCAGCTTGGGTGCCAGGAGTGCAGCCCTGACCCTGGTGATGGCAGCTGAATGGTGGGCAGTTGTTAAGACAGATGATTAGTGCCCAGATGATGGGGAGGTGATGAATTGACCAGATGGCTTGGTGGATGGATGAGTAACCACATGGTCCAAGGGGTGGTCCTGGGGCTCGCCCGGCAAGTCTACCTCCCTAGCTAGATCTAAAGTCAGGAGATTCAGAGCCAGGTTCAAATCCAAGTTTGCACTGATGTTCAATCTTGGGTAGGCCATTGTGGTTTCTGAGGCTTAGTTGCCTTATGTGACAAAGGGGTGTCTTTGCTTCTTTCCTGGTATTCTTGTGAGCCTAAGATGCTTGTCAAGCTACAGGAGGTCCTTGGAAGCCCATCTCTCTCCTTCAGTTTCTGCCTCTTGATTCTCTTCCCGTCCCTGCTAACGAAGCCTCGCCATACCGTTTGAATCATGCTGTCCCTGCTCAAACACTCCAGCACCTCTAGAAGAAAGCCCAGACTTGTATTTGAACACCAGGCCATTTGATCTTCTAGTCTTTGGGTTTCTATCCAGAGCCCTCCACCCGTCCCTGTCTTGGCCGATGCCTTTGAGCTTAGCCCTTGGCCTGTACTTTCCCACTTGTCTCTGCATGGAACTCCCTCTGTCTCTGTCTCCCCTCCCTGAGCAGGCCCCAAGCCCAAGCCAACCTCTCACTCTGCCCACGTGCAGCTTTGCCTCTTGCTCTGAGGATTTGCAATCATCTGCTTTTATGGAAGTTTTTTTCTTTTTCTTTTTTGAGAAAGGGTCTTGTTCTGTTGCCCAGGCTAGAGTGCAGTGGCATTATTACAGCTCACTGCAGCCTCCACCTCCTGGACTCAAGCGATCCTCCCACCTCAGCCTCCTGAGTAGCTGTGACTACAGGTGCATGCCACCACACCTGTCTATTTTTTTTTTTTTTTTTTTGTAGAGATGGGAGTCTCACTTTGTTGCTTAGGTGGGTCTTGAACTTATGAACTCAAGATATCCTTCTGCTTTGGCCTCCCAAAGTGCTGGGACTACAGGCCTGAGCCAATATGCCCAGCCTTTGCAGTTTATTTCTGAATAAACATGTCAAATTTCTCACAGTGAGAACTGCTTTCATTTACTGAATGCTTTCTACATGATTGTGCTCTGGGCCTCACCCTCTCCAGGCAGCTTTGCCCTCAGACCTCACAGTGACCCTTTGTAGTGGACTGAATGGCAGCCCCCAAAAATCTATGTCCACATTTTAACTCCTAGAACCTGTCAGTGCGATATTTGGGAAAGGCGTCTTTGCAGATGTAATTAAGCTAAGAATCTTGAGATAAGCATGTTGGCTTAGCATTGGATTTAGGGTGGGCCCTAAATCCAGACAAACGTCCTTATGAGAGACAGAAGAGGTGTCACCGAGGGAGAAGAGGAAACCATGTAAAGATGGAGACAAGCTTGGAGGTCTGTGAGCTAGAGGAGGCAAAGAAGGATTCTCTGCTAAGGCCGCGGGAGGGAGATCAGCCCAGCTGGCACCTCGACTTTGGACTTCCGGCCTCCAGAACTGCAGAGAACACATTTCTGTTGTTTTAGCCACCAAGTTTGTGGCCATTTGGTATAGCAGCCCCAGGAAACGAATGCACCCCGTGAGGCAGGTACAATGATTGCGTTTAGCAAAGAGGGAACAGGCTCAGAGAAGTGGAGTAACCAGCCCAGAGTCCCTTGGCCAATCAGGGACAGAGCCAGTCATATTCAGGTCTGGCTGCCTCTCAGGGTCAGTAAGGGATTCTCGGTGATTAGAGGGACACCTGCGGCAGGGTTCTCAGGGCCCTGCCTAGGGTGGACTCAGCAGGTCCGGTTGTGGGGTGTGCGCTAGACCAAGTCGTGAAGACTCTCTGGGTCTCTGGACCCCTCTTCCCATGGCCTGCTGCTCCTCCACTGCCAACGCCCCACTTCCCCAACCCTCAAGCGCATAGCCTAGAATGGAGACCGTGGCCTGCCATCAACCAGCCTCTCCTCCACACACCTTTCCAGTCCTCCCAGGGAGGGCTGACCTCTCCCAGCAGCAGGTGTGCGGCACGTCACATACCTGCCCTCGCACCTGTGACCGTGAACTCTCTCCCAGGACGGCAGGGACTGCGTTTTATTAATACCAGGTCCCCTAGTGACTAGCACCTTGTGGGGCATACAACGGGGGCTCGGCTCATGTTTCCTGGGCAAATGAATGGGCGGGTGGACCTTCGGGCCTTGGACAAAAGGACAAAGCTGACCAACCGAGTCATTTGTGGGGCTGGGAGTATTGGGGTAACAGGGCCTCCTCTGCCCTAGGCCGTTGCAGGGCAGAGCAGTGGCCTCTCCTCAGGGTAGCCCAAGGCCCCTTCCTACCCTCAAACATGGACCCCAGAGAAACCGAGGCTTCCCTGAAAATCCCCCAGCCCCCAGCCCCACTGCCACAGTACCAACTAGGATCCCCTCAGGGACAGGGGATCAGCTGATCAGGAGAATTAGCTCAAGGTGGCTGGTGCTTGGAGGACTGTGAGGGAATGTGGCGGAGATCACATTTGTTGCTTCTTTGGGGTGGAAGGAGTGAGGGAGGAGCCGGTGGTAGGGTGGGCGGCAGACGCGTTCCGAAGCTCCTTGCAGAAAGCGCACTGAGCCCGGAGCGAGAGGATGGGGCCTAGGCTCTGCATCTGTACCCATTCGCCTCCTGGGCCTCTTTTGCCTACTGCTCTCATGGGGCACTGTCTCTGCCCCCAAGGCTAGACCCCTTGAAGAAGGCAGGAGTGAGCTTCCAGATAGGGGTGCAGATGGTCGCCAGCAGCATAGACTCGCAGTGGAAGAGTCCGCAGCCAAAAAGGACCCAGAGGGAACCACCATGACCCCTGCAACAATCCCTGTCATAGTTCAGCACTGACTGGTGCCAGGCCTGGTCCCACCCAGCCCTTAAGCTAATTCGCCTGATCAGGTGACCCATGAGTAGCTATTAGCTTCCCCCAAATGCCAGGAGGGGCGGGCTGAGGCTCAAAGACACCCAGTGACTTGCTCAAGGGCACGCAGTTAGCAAAAAAGAAATTTGAACCCAGGTCTGCTGAACTCCCAAGCCGGTGTTCTTAAAGACTGCCCATGGTTGGGGCGGCACCGTGGGGACTGCGATGAAGGCAGTTACCCTGTCCTGCTGGGTGCCCTCAGTTGGGGTGTGCTGAGACTAGAAGAGGAATTTCCCCTGTCCCAGAGACAGGAAGATTCGGCTGAGATGATCTCCCCCTCCCAAAGCCCCTGAACCTCTGGCTGGGGCTTGGGAACAAGGTCACCGAGCCCCGCTCTTCAGCCTTCCTTGGCAGCTGGCCTCCCTCCACGTGCACCCACACACATGCATTCACACACATGCACACGTGGGACCAGAAGGGATAGGGTGAGGGGAAACCAGAGACAGGGAGGATTCCTCAGAGACTTTTTATTGACTCTTCTCTGAATGCTGTCGCCGGAGCAGCAGTGGGTGTCCCTTCCTGGGCCTTCGTCGCGGGTCAGGAGTGTGTCTGCTTGGACTCGGGGCTCTTCTGGGCCTCGGCGTTGTCCTCCTGGCCCTCCTCCTGCCGCTCAGGCTCCATCAGCAGCAGCTTGCCCTGCACTGGCAGCTCTTCTTCCTCCTCCTCTTCCCCTTCCTCCTCCTCTTCCTCCTCCTCCTCACCCTCTGATGACAAGGAGAAGTTATCTTGACTGACGCAGGCCACGAGCTTCTTCATGGAGGATTCGTGGCCCCGGCCATGGCCCATGCTGTGGCCCATACTGTGGCCTGTGCTGTGGCCTGTGCTGTGGCCTGGGCTGTGGCCTGTGTTGAGCTTGGCACAGCGGGAACCCATGGTTCACGTTGCCTGTCTCTCTGGACAAGGAGGTGAGGTGGTTGGTGAAGGAGCTGTGAGTGGGGGCAGGATGCTGACATCACAAAGGGAGCCCGCCCCCCTCGGGAACCTGGGTCTGAGCCAACAGCTAACTCAGGCCTCAGCCACTGGCAGCTGCCAGCCCTCACAGGGAAGGTCTGCAAGGCTGAGCGCTGGGGCCAGTGCGGATGCCGACACCATAGACCTCATTTGCCCTGGAGAAAGTTTCGCTTGTAGCTGGGATGGGAGTTAGAGATTGAATTTCTAGAAGCAGGAGGGGCACACACAGACTCCTCCCCACATCCCAGAAATCGCCAGCCAGAGAGAGCTGTCTCTGTTGCGTTTCTTGACTGCTGACCCTTGGAAATAAATCATCAAGCTGTGTGCTTAAAGTGTATGCACTCTGTAAGCTCTGCCTTCATAAAACTCAGAAACCCTTGGAACTCTTCCTTCGGGGGCCTGAAAGTGTGAAATCTTCTTGAAAAGCAACGGCTCCTAAGCTTTTTCTGTTTGTCCAAGGCATGGGCACAGGCCAGAAACCAAGCTGAGATGAACAAGGGGTTGCTTTGTCCCTGACTGATGCAAGATGGACACCACCAACCAGATGCCACTCTGCCCAGGTCAGGGTGGAGTGACAACCTCTTAAGTGTTTTAGGGCCACAGGTCTCTTTGAAGTCTTGGCAAGATTCCCCATCTGTGTGGCACCATTTCAGCATGCGGGGAGTGGTTTTAGGACTTTGTCTTTTATACATTGAAATGAGTCTTTTGTACACTGCAGTGGTATTAAATTAAAATTTTTTCAGGCCAGGCATGGTGGCTCACACCTGTAATCCCAGCACTTTGGGAGGTGAGGCAGGTGGGTCATCTGAGGTCAGAAGTTCGAGTCCAGCCCGGCCAATATCGTGAAACCCTGTCTTTACTAAAAATACCCCCAAAATATTTTTTTAAAGCTCCTCCAGCTACTCAGGAGGTTAGGCAGGAGAATCACTTGAACCCAGGAGGTGGAGGTTGCAGTGAGCTGAGATTGTGCCACTGCACTCCAGCCTGGGTGACAAGAGCAAAACTCCATCTCAAAAAAAAAAATATATATATATATATATATAAGATAAATATATATATTTTAATATTTTATATATATATATATTTGTATTTTTTTCAGAAACTCATTGCCTCTTAAAAATTGGTCATTTCTGAGCACCAGGAATCCATTTTCCAACATATGGATTGGATCTTGCCAGTTTTATCCCCGCAGTCCTCAGTGGCTGTGGTTGGCTAAATGCCAATCCTGATCCTGGAATCTATGATGTAAGGATTGTGAGATGGGGAGGTTATCCTGGGTTGTCCAGAAAGTCCCTCTGTGCAATCACAAGGATCCTTGATTTCAGACAGGAGTGATGTAGCCACAGGCCGAGGAGAGGAAGCAGCAAGGATCACATTCTCACTGGGTCTCCAGAGGCGTCAGCCAGCACAGGCTTCACACAGCCCAGCCCATTACTCTGCATTCATCTGCTCCTTGCCTTTTGCCCCCTCTGTGCTGACCAAGTTGTTGCTGGAGCACGCCAGACCTGCTCCCCACCTTGAAGCCATTGCCTGTACTGCTCCTCTGCCCCCACCGTTTACACTTCCTTATACTTCCAACGACCCAACATCTGTGTTTTTAAACTGTGGCACACAGAAAGCCTTTTAAATATGGCCACAAGGTGCCTTGACATCTTTGTGACTTAATTAGGGCTCAATCTGTTCTAACCATTTTCTCCTTTCATGGGGTAGGATCAGGTTTTTCACTGGAGGGGGATCCAAACAGACTAATGTGGCCTTTGACTCCATGGAACGATGTGCAATAGACAGGACAGCATCACAGGGTGGCCTCCCAGGCACAGTAACCCTCTCCTAGGCGCCCTCAGAGCGGCAGAGCTCCTGCCCTACCCGCCCCTGAGGAAGGACTGCAGAGAAGCCTCTACCCACCCTGGGCATGAGGGAATCCAGGTTTGTGTGATTCATGCAAAGGAAATGTGATTCGCGCAAAGGAAACCCAACAGGCCAGCAATGTCTTGTCAAGCTTTATTGGGCAGGTGACTTTTGCTCATTTCACTCAGATCTTGTGGACTTCTCAGCGGCAACTCAGGGCTTGAGCATTTGATGTAGGGGAGTTGCTATGGCCTCACTTGGTGTTTCTTGGGCAGGTGACTTTCTCTTCCAGCTGGGGGCTTGAGCATTTGATGGAGGGGAATTGCTATGGCCTCACTTGGTGTTTCTTGGGCAGGTGACTTTTTCTTAATTTCCAGCCGGGGGTGAGGGGCCCAAGAAGCTTAGTGCCTTCTGCATCTTCTCCTCCTGGTTCTGCAGCCTTTTGGGAAAAAGTTCTGGTTGAGGGAGGCACCTAGGGACTCTAGGTGGGGATGGGGGTTGGGGGCTGGAGCCTTTGCCAGGTGGGGTGGGTCCCAGCCTCCCTCCTGTGCCTGGGATGGTCAGGGGCATGCAGGGCAAGGCGGGGGTGCAGGCAGACCTCTGCGATGCCTCCTCCGGTGCCTGCAGGAGCGTCTTCTGCGCCTTCTGCAGGAGCGATGCCGCCGTCTGTGGATCCGGTGCAGCCTCCTTCGAGAGCAGCGCCTGCGCCTATGGTAAGAGTGGCCTCGGTGGGTCCTTTCGTAGACCTCGACGTGCTCCGGGCTCAGCCCCTGCTCCTCTTGGCCGTTGTGTCCTTGGTCTTGCCCATGCACCTGCTGCCCGTGCACCTCGTGCGGGCGTTCGCTCAGGCTCCTCATGCGGTATCGGACCATGGTGTTGGGAGAGCTGGTGGCTCCTGGGCTGAGGCTGCAGTGGGCCCTGGGGTGGGGGAGGAGGGCTGAGGCCTGCCCACCTGCCCTTGGTGTTACTGTTGGTCTGGTCTGCGAGGCTCCCCGGAAGCTTGTATATAAAGGGGGCGCCCACTATGACTCGGCGGCCCCGCCCCGACCCCACCCTGCCCAGCCTCCTCTGTGAGGGCAGCACAGGGCCAGGGGTCACAGCTAGCAGGGCCCTGGCACCCAAGCTGCAGGGCTGGAAGGGTGAGAGACCTCCTTGCCTTGCCTGTAAAGTGTGTCCTCTGTCTCTTGCAGCAGGTGCAACCACACAGATGGCAGGTGTTTTTTTGTCTAATGCAAGCCCTCTTCCCCCTAAGCCGGTGGGCACGCACACTGTCAGTTGGAAGCTTCCTTGCCAACTTGCTGCTGTGCCATAGCTGCCATGTGGAAGGGACTTACATGCTTGGCTCTCTGTGCACACAGTTTACTGTTAAGATGGTAACAGCAGCAAACAGTTCCCTAATAACTCCTATGTGCCAAGCATTGATACATTTATTTCCCAGACATTCACTCATTTTCTCTCTCTCTCTCTTTTTTTTTTTTTTTTGGGACAGTATCTGTTGCCCAGGCTGGAGTGCAGTTGTGCAATCATAGATCACTGCAGCCTCTACCCCTCCGGCTCAGATGATCCTCCCACCTCAGCCTCCCGAGTAGCTGGGACTATAGGCGTGTGCTGCCACTCCTAGCTAATTTTTTGTATTTTTTGTAGAGATAGATAGGGTTTCACCATATTGCCCTGGCTGGTCTCATACTCCTGGCCTCAAGTGAGCCTCCCATGTCAGCCTCCCAGACTGCTGGGATTACAGGTGTGAGCCACCACCCTGGCATTCCTCACTCTTACAATCCCCATTTTCTGTGGGGTAAATAGGCATGAAGACGTTGAGTTGCTCAAGGCCACTCCGCTGAGAAGGCCAGGCCGGGCCAGCATTCAGACGGAGACAGCCTGGTTTTAGTCATACCCTTGGCTCTCCACCTACTCCCTAGCCCAGGGGATGCTCCCCTCTCTGCCTCTAAAATATGCATCTTCTCCCCTCCTGCTCGGCCTTGCCAGGGCTTCTCATTGAACTTTGATGATCCCATTAAAGTCTAGGATCAGAATCACAGAAAAACTGCAAAACCAGTTTCCCTTTCGTGGAGGGCAGGGAGAATGTGGGAATATGGCAGATACACAAATTTAAGGACCTGAAGATGTAGCGATCATCCTTGATGATCTGGGCTGGCCCAGTACAGTCACAAAGGCCCTTAGAAGAGAGGATAGGGAGGCAGGAAGCTCATAGGAAGAGAAATTCAGAGATGCCACACTGCTGGCTTTGAAGATGGAGGGAGAGGCTACAAGCCAAGGAATGCAGGCAGCCTCTAGAAGCTGGGATGGATAAGGAAATGGGTTATCCTCCCCTGGTGCATCCAGGAGGAACACAGCCCTGCTGACCCCTTGATTTTAGCCCCATGAGACTTCTTTCAGAATTCTGAACTGCAGACCTGTAAGATAATACATTTATGTTGTTAAAGCTACAAAATTTGTGGTGATCTGTCACAGCAGCAATAGGAAACAAATTCAGAAGGCTTAATCTTCAGATCCTTGCAGGAGGTGATGGGTGATATTGCCCGACCCTTGGTGTTTCTGTGCTGCCTCTCTTTGGGGATAAGAAGGTCCTTTATAATGGCCCTCAAGCTCTCTAGGGCACGTGTTAAAAATATAAATGCTGAGGCCTTACTACGTCCTGCTAAGTCAAATCTTCATGGCCAGAGCTTGCTGATGAAAATAGGAAGGGGTGGAGCAGGGCATGGTGGCTCACACCTATAATCCTAGCACTTTGGGAGGCTAAGGCAGGTGGATCACCTGAGGTCAGAAGTTCAAGACCAGCCTGGTCAACATGGTGAAACCCCATCTCTACTAAATACACAAAAATTAGCCAGGCGTGGTGGCGGGCGCCTGTGATCCCAGCTAC